TTGGCCCAAACATTCAGATTCATTAGACCATCCTATAATCTCTCGCCAGGCTTTCAGAGGTTCTTGCCAGGCATGGATGTTTACTGTGGAAGCTTCTTGCAATGCTGCAGTCTCTTGTTGCATGTACAGTGCATCTGGTACTTGATGAACATTAAAGCAGCTCTTTCACAATGTTATCAGCCACATTTAAATTGTGCAGGATATCTATCAAATTAAAGATTAAAAAAACAATGAAATAATTTATTGTGGCCTCATTTCCTTTGCCGCCACCTCGGTGTATGATTTGAGACTGCGGCTGGGTGAAGGTGGCTCTAATGTGAAGTGTTTTGATTGGTCAGTATGATTAGAAAAGCGTGATATGAATACAGTCCTCTCACCATTTAGATAATTCCCTGCAATCAGAAAGTCTTTATTAATTCGCGTTTTACAGTGACTTGCAAAGGTATTCACACCCTTTAAACCTGTTTACATCTTGTCAAGTTACAGCAGCAAAGTTCAGTGCATCTCATTGGGATTTTATGTGATAGACACAGCACATATTTGTCAAGTGGAAGGAAAATGGTGCACGGTTTGCTTTTTGGGGTTTTTATTCCGGTGTGCATTTGTAATCAGCCCCCTGAGTTTATACTCAGTGGAACCACCTTTTGCTGCAATTACCGTTGCAATTGTATTGGGGTACGTCCCTACCGGCTTTGCAAACCTAGAAACTGAATTCTTGCCTGTTCTTTACCAAAATTGCTCACAGATTGGATGGAGAGCACTTATTTCCAACTGGATTTTCTTCTGGACTTTGTTACCTTAGCTGCATCTTTGTCCTGCTGAAAGGTGAACCTCCATCCCAAGTCTTTTGGCAGCCTCTGACAGTTTTTCTTACAAGATTATCCTGTATTTAGTACCATACAACTTTCTATAGATGAGTTTTCATGTCCCTGACGAAGAAAGTAATCCCTACAGCATGATGCTGCCACCACCATGTTTCCTCATGGGAAGATGTTCGAGGTGTTTGTTTTTGGAACACAAATGTCATTTTGCACGTAGGCCGAAAAGTTCTACTTTCGTCTCACCTGACCTGAGCATCTTCTTCAGAGGATGATAGAGTCCAGTAAAATAAGACTAAATGCTGAAACCTAGTAGTGTAGTACTAAGTTAATAGTGAACAAACATAATGGTAATGTCACATTATCCACAATGCTGTGTGTTACATAAAAAACCTAAAAGTAAACCAGTTAAGTTTTTACCACACATAATAAAAAACTGAATAGACACATTTTCAAGTACCTGACTCAGCTTGCATGCGGGCCGCCTTGGCTTTAGCCAGCTCCAGGGCAGTTATCCACCTCTGACGTTCCACCTCTGAGCTGGCCTTCAGGTGATATGTCTGAGCTCCGCCGTTAGAGATGACGAAGTTGCAGGCGTCATCTACAGAGATGACTGCTGTGGCCAAGTTGATTGTGCCCCGACACGTGTGACCCATCTCGGCCTGGGTCCTAATAATGCAACATCTTAAGTTGACTTTTGGACATAAAGGCAACAAGTATTTCAAAATCTAACTTTCAAACGATCAACCCTCAATTCAGATTTGTGGGTGATACTTGTTAAGTATTAATGGGGCTGTAAAAAGAGAATGGTCAGTCGGACAAGCATAAGAAACAATAGGTAATATGGTGAGGCTAAATGGGTGTGAACTAACACAGCTATGCTTTCTGCTAGGAATCCTTACCTGTAGTATGACAGCAGACCATTGCTCAAAACGAACCACCTCCGCTGATAACCCTTGATGTAGTTTGTCCACTTGAAGACCCATCCTTTGTACGTGTCACCAGCAGGGGTGGGAGTGGGGCTCTTCGGTTCTGACATCACACCCCCCCCAAAATCCAGATTCAGATTAGAGAAACCTCTAAGGGAAGATTTCCAAAAAGTTATACATTTATATTCCAAGATTAAAAGGTTCAAGGATGACTAATAACAGCAGAGGAGATTGCTTTGAAAGAATATGTCTCTGTCTCCAGGCTATTCACACACTTTCAGAGCACTTACAGTTTACATTGGAAGCAAACAATGTGCTGACGGGGACAATTTGTTTTTTGAGAAGTAGTAGTCACATTTTTTGTGCCTTGCAACTAAATGGGTTTAGTGCGGATGTGTGCATGTTTCACTTCTGTTTTGGAGACCAGAACAGGTCAATAACCCCTCCATCCAAACCAACATAATGTAAGGAAATCATTTTTAAAATCTGCTTTTCAAATCTCTGATGCTGTTCACTTCATCCCCCTTGACATTTTGTAGTTTTTCCTGTTTCATAGCCATTTGTCAACAGATATTTCCTATTAAATATATATCAATTTGTACACACGTTGGAGAGGTTTGTACCCACAGTGACAATTCATGATTTGAAAGTTTGTGGTTATATGAAAAAAAAAATCTATTGACAAGATGCCCCTCCGAGTCATTTTCTCTAGATCAGAGGTCATAATCTGCCACATTTTATAAGAGTTGGCTAGTCCAAACAGGTATCAGGTCCAAAATAAATGGATAAGTAAAAAGAAATATATGAAAACTATGTCATATGGAGAAAATGTTATTATCAAATGTCCAAAAAAAAACTATTTGTCTTGCAAAGGATACATGCTCAAATTGTTTGTAGATGGGTTTTCTTTTTAGATACCGTTGTCCCATAACCAAGAGGATTTTACAGTATTTTATGATTGTCAGTGACGCTGAGACAGACAGCTGTGTTGATCTGGGCTGTTTGCTTTTTAAAAATCATAGTTTTAAGTTTGTAATTTATCCAGAAAGTAAACAAACTTGTCTTGCTGTTATTTGTAGTTGTTAAATAGAAACCAGAATCAGGTAAAATCGTAAAGGGGGGAGCTTCACAAATTCAATGATTTGGAAATCGACCACAAAATCTCTTATCCGTGTATCTTGAAATATTGTCTTTAGAACAATATCAAATTAAATATGAGAAATGCACTTAAATGCATTACTAATCAAAATACTTACCCACAGCTAGAAATGTACTGATCGGTGATAGTTAAGTAAATGAGTACAAAGTGAGAAATGGAAGCAGGTATCGATGAAATTCCACCTAGTCAATACAAAATGCTAAGGAAAATCACATGGAACAAACTTTGCTGATTTAGTTTGTACAATGCAATTTTTTCTTTATTTCACCCTAAACATCTAACGTTTTTCGAACATGTGATTCACCAGAGGGAGATGTTTTCTTTATTCCAATTCATTGTTTATGAATGAACTTTCATTATTTACCAAACATGTCATAAACGTGTTATAGAGAAAACGTTCCACTTTTTGGGTAACAAACCATTTTAACTTATACTCCAGTCTTATGTGCAAACTAAAATATCCTAAAGTTTACTTTATTTTCATATGAATAGTTTCTGGTTGCTTTGGTTGATCTTTGAATGTAGAATCACGGGTCAAAGGTTAACTAATGAATCAATACACATTTAGGTTTCACTATTCTTGCTACCAGAATTCATCTTAAAACCCAAAGCACTTATTGGCAAAAAAGCTAGCTGATAAATTAAATAAAGTCTTGCACTGGTTTGTCTTGAATTACACATTATATATTATTTACAGCAATTTGAGCGTTTTAGAACTAAATATACTGATTGTATTATAAGTATAAATGTGACAAATGTTAAGCTAATGAAGAACCAGCCCCACTGAGACAGAATAAACCCACAATGTCACACTTTCGATGAAGTTGTTAGAACAGCTACGAACCTGACATGCAGGAGCTAGCCTGCACTGACAGCAGATTAAAAAAAAAAAAACTTAAAAATCTGCGCTGATTTCCGCTCACAGCTAATATGAGCTAAAGTCAGGAAACATAACCTGACACCTTTGATCAGAAGTTCAGCTGACATTAAAAAATGCGGGCGAAATACACCGCTGAATATTCCTTTCCTCGGAACAAGATAGCTCTCGAATTTGTTGGCGACTGAATGTTTACCTTGACGTGTCCAAAATGCCAGATGAGGAAACCAGACAGGCAGTGAAGTCACTGCTAACTCTGACAACCCATACGATGCCAGGCTAGCCGAGCTAACTCAGGCTAACGCTGCACGGCTAAAGCTGGAAATAACTCAGAGGACGTTGACGATAACAACGGTGTCACTGTGAACAGATGACGCTATGATGTGCTATCACTGTCCTTAAGCAGTTCTGTTTGTAATGTTCACCGTACTGCTGCGTACGATGATAATTATCTAAAGCTAACTGGCTACATCTAGCTAGCCTAACATTAGCTTGTGGGAGACACCCGGTGCAACTCGTTTGAAGCCCGTGTGGAAACGCTCCTACTTTTCCCTAAATTATCTGTATCAAACAAGTTAATATCTGTACTTAACTGGTGATTTAATGATAGATTATGGTTCAAAGGTTTGACTTTCGTTTTTAGTTCTGGTATTATTACATCATCAGTTTATTTCAAATTTTGTTTCACACAACTCCCTAACTGGTTCAATATTCACCGAAGGGGTACCAAACATCCCCCTTGTGAGTACAAATGGAAGCATTATCAGGGCAAATTGTCCCGTGGCAAGCGTTATTTTCGTAAATTGTTTAGAAAAGACATGAATAAATGCCCAGACCTTACCTATAATTTAATTCATTTGCATTTTAATTGGTAATAAATTTGTAAAACTCTCCTCTTTTGACAAAATAACTCTGTGCAAAGACTATTCGTAGATATTTATTGGTGACAAAACCACATTTACTTACAGTAGACTATGAGTAGATTTTTTTTTTTTTTTAAATCATCCTCGGCTGTCCCCCGGGCAGGTACGAATAGACGCAAAATAGGTTTCACGTTGTACTCAAAACGACCAAAAACTACAAAAATGCCAAATGGTCAAGGGACGATTTTATCAGCGACCATTGCCAAACTCTGGTGTTTAAAGTACAGCCACTGAAGAAGAGCTGAAATTCATTTGTGAAAGTAAAGACTTCTTTTCTGCAATTCAAAAAAGTATCGACTCCGGTGGGACTCGAACCCACAACCTTTGAATCACTTCGCTTTAGCCTAGAAGTCCAATGCGCTATCCATTGCGCCACGGAGCCACCTGTTGCAGCCAGCCGACACTGCTAAATTTGAACCCACAAATCGCGGCCGGTCTGGAAAGGTTTGTAGTGGGTTTGAAAATTTCGACTCTGTTGTGTGCGAGGTCCAGAAAAATGCCGACGGGGATACCGTCCACAGAATACAGCTCCATGTGGCGGTAACGTAATGCTACTTTTGTAACCATAATAAAACACATGATGGCGCTATAGATCAACAAACAGGCCCACAAACGTCTCAATAATCCCACACAGTCAATGGTGGTAACAACAGATAACACTTTGAAATTATTTTATTTTCCAAATACGTACAGCTGTCTTTTTCTGGAAACCGGACTGTTCTAATGGATGTGTGGTGTTGCAAAGTCTTTTAGGATCTTCATCCATTTTTCCAACATTTGCGCGTCTATACAATGTTTTACGGCCGTGTTTTAGCTCACTGGCGTATTCATGTCCTATCCTTGGTCATCGATTTTCATTAAACCCCATAATGATTAACGCATTTATAAATAGTTAAATGTCACCAAGGTCTTATTCAACCATTCCCAAATGACTGAACTGTGAAGCAATTTACTTCTATACAGTTGTTTTGTTGAGTTATAAAATCTGACAAAGAGATTTTGCTAGGGGCATCTCAGTAAAGTTGAATATAATCAAAAAGTCAAATTAGAACAGAAACTCGACTTAAAAAGTTAAACTCATATAGATATATAGATTCCTTACATAAAGAAGTTTTTTTTTTTTGGCAGGGCAGACAAGTGACAAGTAGGCCTACTTCTAGGAAATGAAATAAGGATCTTCATGATGGGAAATGCCCTGGTAGTCAGCAGTTGTTTGTGTGACCTTTAACTTGTTTCATCAAGTCAAAGGTCACACAAACAATGATCCCAAAGAGCCCCATTATGGTCTCATAATATAAACCCACCCTGGATGCATGCCTACAAATAGCTTACACAGTGTTGGACTAACAGCCGTAGATAACATGGCTCCCAAAATCGTTCCTGGCTGGAAACCTTGCACTGTACCTCAGGCAACTTTAATTCTCTCCACTCTTTCCTCAAGACTCAGGAACGCTGATTTCCACACTTTTTCCTTCAACTTAATTTTCTTTTTGTTTTATTTATTTATTTTTGAGTGCCATGTGTAGAACGGACTGGCGTTTTTGTCAAATTTCATAATTAAATGAAGCCAATACACAACAGTAAACCCCATTTTACAATGGTCAGTGGTGTTATTTTACAAGTGCTGATGAAATGGCGACATACTGAGGATAAAAAATAAATAAATTTAGGGTATTTCGATGTAGATAACGTAGTTTACGGTTTAACTTGAACGCAGCGTGGAATTACAGCGCTGCCGTAAATAACAGAGTAGAAGCGTGAATGGAGGGGGGTCAGAGGGGGACACAGCTCAACACACAGGGAAGCAAATGGAAGATATCTATCTTGTCCTCCCAACGTATCTTTGATGTGTCCTCCCAGGAGCGGAAGTCTCTGGGATTCCGCTCAATCCATCGCTCTAAACCAGGCGTGTGCATAGGGAGACGGAGCGTTTGCATCTCTTCCCAACAGAGGGGGACCCTTTCAGCGTCGCTGTGCACCATTTATTAAGGCTTTACCAGCTCGGGACATGTTCTTTGAGGTTAGAATATTTACTTTCCTGCTACAGACTTTGAGTAAAACCAATCGCAATGGCCTAAAATGCGTGAAATGTTCAGAAACAACAGAAGCATGTGCGTTCTTTTCTTCTTTACCAGCGTCATGTTTTATTATAGGTCTGCGCAATAGCCGCGAACGCCTGCCTGGACACGGGAGGGGATTAAGTTACTGCTGCTGGCGGCGGATTATTTTATTGGCCTCTTGTCACGCCTGCCACCAGCCTTTGGCGATCCTGTTTCCAATTAAGAACAATCGCTGAAGAGAAAAAAGAACAGGTATGTTGTTTTCCTAGAAAATAAATGGGAGCGTTCCTCTTTAAAAAAAAAAAAAAAACGCCTCACTGTGGGTTTAACTACGCCGTGACGCCCATCCTTTGTTGCTCATTCCCGTAGTCACTTCTGTAGGGCGAGAGCCTGTAGTTATATGTCTCTTATTAAAGGAGGACTATAATTGAAAAATAATGAGATTGATGCAAGGGATTTAATTATTGAGTAAAACTGTAGCATGATGCTTTGGATATGTCCACATAACAACATAGATCCGAATATTGTAGGCTTTTGAAGCATTTTCCTCATTTGCAAGTTATGCATAGCAGGAATTTGCATAAGTATTTATACCTCTTGAGCTTTTTCAATTTTTGTCACGTTACAATCACAGAGTTCAGTTTGCTTTATTGGGTTTTTTAATCGTGAAGGAAGGAAAAGGATCCATAGTATGTGAGGTTAAGGTATGTCTCTACCAGCCTCGTCTCCTGTAATTTGCGCCAGTTTTCTTTGCAGAATAGAGGAAACATACAGAGTGTCTGTGAACATCAACTTTAAATCTCGCCACAGATTCTTACTTGGGTTTAGGTCCGGGCTTTGACTAGGCCTTCCTAGCTAGGGCTGCACAATATATTGCGGATATATCGTCATCAATGTGTGCAATACACATATTACAAAGGACTGTTTTGAGTGCAATAGTTCCCAACTGTTATGAAACTGCATTGTACATGCCAATGTAATTTTTAGCCAGGTGGACAGAGTTTCACGGCAGCAGATGCTCACACAGGACACAAATGACATCGCCCAAAATGCTAAAGGTCACAGAGTGATGGAAGCACAGATGAGACAGAAAATGACAGAAGAGAATAAGCATATATATCTAACTAATATCACAATATTTAACTATATTATTACCATCGCAAGATTTCCTAACATTGTGCAGCCCTATATCTAACACATAAATAACCTTTGATGTAAAACGTCCATTCCACTGAAGCTCTGGCTGTATGCTTATGTTCATGGTCCTGTCTGAAGATGCCTGCATTGCAGTTTTAAAGTTTTTTCAGCCTCTAAAAGGTTTATTGTCTTCAACTCTGACCAGCTTCCCTCTTCCTGCTAAAAAACAGTTTTCCCACACCATGATCCTGCCACCATTATGATTTAGTGTGTGAACAGGGGTGTTAAGGGTCTTAGCTTGTGCATGTAGGCCAAAAAGTTCAAAGATGTTCACATCTGACCATAGCACCTTCTTCATGTTTGCTGTGTCTCCAACACGGCTCATGGCAAACGGCAAACTGTGCTTTTTGTGGCTTTCTTCTTGTCTCTCTCCCTCTTAAATCCAGACGCCTGAAGTTTATGGCTAATAGTTGTCTCGTTAAGAGATTCGCCCACCTGAGCTATGGATCTCAGCAGCTCCTCCAGAGTTACCACAGGCCTTTTGGCTGCGTCCCTGATTAATGTTCCTCTTTCCCAGCCTATCAGTTTAGCTGGGCGGCCAGGTGTTGACAGGTTTACAGTTGTGCCATAGTCTTTTTCTTTTCAGTCTTCAGTGAGTGTTTTCTATGCTAACCCCGCTTTGACCTGTCTTCTGTCGTCCTTGGTCTTCATCATGCTGTTTGTTCTTTAACAAACTTATGAGGACTTCACAGAACAGCTGGGTTGATACTGAGATAAACATCCCACACAAATGGACTAATTAGGGGATTTCTGAAGGCAACTGGCAGCACTGGGTTTTATTTAGATGTGTCAGAATAAAAGGGGCTTAATGCAAATGTGCGCCTTCCCTCTCACAATTCTGCACTACTTTTTGTCGACCACATAAAACCCCAGTGAGATACATTGAATTTTGTGGTTATAATGTGACAAAATGTGAAAAACTTCAAGGTGTGTGAATAGTTACTTGATGCGCTGTGGACTGCATCCCTCATTTCTTCTCGTGCATACGTTGCTTTGCGAGCTGTAAAGCATTAGCTTGATGTCAGCAGCTCCCACTGCCCAACCCCCCTTCCTTCCTCTGTCACAGCATGTTTTGATCTCAGGCAGCTCATACCCTTTTTGTCTACTCAGTCTGGACCGTACTTTGCCAGGACAAAGTCTAAGCACGGAAGAATTTGCCTGTTGTTTTGACAGCCCAGTTTTCTCTCACTAACAGACAGCCAATTATAGGGGATTCATTAAAACACACCTGTTACACTCCAGTCTTTGAGCGATGGTGTCCTACAACTTTCAGATGTGCCTCTGCTTCAGCACAACCGGGTCAAATAATCAGGACATTAGCAAGACTCTGTAGGACTTGTCTGAATCCCGAGGAGCTAATTCAGCTATTTGATTTAGGTGTGTTTGGACCAGGGACACCGGCCCTCATGAACTGGAGTTTGACAACCCAGCTTTAAGATGTAGCAAATTGTCTTTATTATTTTACTATAAAGATATCTTATGCTTTCAGTTTCAATCTTTAATCAAGGCAAATTGACAGCTTGGGTTTAATGGGTTTAATGAATCTGCTTTCACCTGAAAAATAATTTTTATTATAATTTAACTTGTTTTTCCGAGAGAGCAAAGTTTTACTGCAGCATTTTCCTTTTCATTCCGTCCGCAGGGATGTCTTTCCGTAGAGGCGTGGTCCGGCAAAGTAAATTCCGCCATGTTTTCGCTCAGGCCTGGAAGGCTGAGCAGTGCCTCGACGACGTCAGAGTGTCCCGGGTGACGTGGGACGGCCCCCTCTGCGCGGTCAACCCCAAGTTTATTGCGGTCATCATCGAAGCGGGCGGAGGAGGGGCCTTCCTCGTTGTTCCGATCAGCAAGGTTTGACCTTCACCAATACGTTCTGTGGCTGATAAACTGTGGATCAATACTTTTCTTTTAAAGTCAAAAGCTTTTTGTCAGATTCACAATGACCTCACCCTTTATATCCCACTAATGCACACACAGCACTTTTACAGGTCCGCTGCCTGATTCCAGACACGGTATGTGTAATGCAGTCTTTCAAGCCAGCGGATCTGAGTGTTTTGTTTTCTCCAAACAGAGCGGCAGAATCGACCAGTCTTGCCCCACAGTCTGCGGACACGCGGCGCCCGTGTTG